CAGTCTTGCACTTAATCACCATATCCATCAATAGAGAGGATATCTTCCTTGTCTTATAGAGTGCACTAGAGTAACAAAGTCTATTTGGTCATATACTGTGTAGGGCTTATCTAGAACATTCCCAAAGCCATGAAGACTTAAGGACTGGAGAAACCCTTTTACTGCAGTCAGTTTTTCCTGTAGTCAGTAGCCCGTCAGGGTCTCCGTGGGGAACAGATGTGGGTCTTTTTTTTTCCCAGATTGATGCTGCCCAGCGAAACGATCACTGCAGGTGCTCCTGACTCTAGATGAGTTTTGCCAGACGCTCACTGATCAATAATGTGCACTGTGAGCGCAGTCGGTTTCAGCAGAATGAGCAGTCCTCCAAAGGAACAGGGCAGGAATGCTTCACGGCTTTTGACATATGTGTTATTGGATTCTACGCCCCCCCCCCCCTTTAGGTTTTGCCAAGGGGTTTCTGTCCGGTGTCCAATTTCACACTTGGGGGAGCCGGAGTGGAGACAAGGTCAGGGCTGAGTCAACACTGGCTGTATCCTCCTGCTGATGCCCAGGAAAAGCAAAGGAGACATATTTCACCCTCATATGTGTGCCGTTACTTTTGAGGGATGTTCTTGTGGTCGTTTCTTCCTTCCCAGACTTACTGGGCTCTTTGCTCTATGCCCTAATAATCCAACCTCCCCAAAACATTTTAAGGCAGGGTTATCAGTCGTGCTGGTTTGCTGGCCTCAGTACTCCACAAACCCCCATGCTTTCATCACTTATGACTGGAGGCTGTGCTGCATATGTGGGCTTATGAATGAGGGGGAGCTGAAGATGTCATGGTGGAGCATAAAAATAACCTACTCCGAGCTCTTACTTCTCATCCAGCACTCTCATGCATAGCCATGCAATGGACGTATTGATTCTCTGATGCTATGGAATGCTGAAGAGAAAGTGATTAATTGTCATGGTTGACACCCCACAGCACAACAACAAAATGCGTCCTCTGCATTAGTAACATCATGACATAGCAGTGGGCAGCTATTATTCAATCCCCAGGGAGTAGGTGCATAGGGGTGGTACCCTGCCGGCTAGAGATTTGAACCACCAGCTTTCTGATCACAAGCACACTTCCCTAACCAGCCACCAATGCTCTGAAGAGCATTAAAGCCCCACTGCATGATCTTCAGCAAGTGAGCAACCAGGGATTATGACACTTGATGTGTAGACAAGAACCCTTTTCAGTCTAATTTACCAGGTGTATCATGACCATGGTGCGAATGGCGTCACGAAGGAAATTCAGGCAGCTAGTGTTTGAAAGACTGAATGCTTTCTCACTCTCTCGCATTCAGGATGTAGACTCTATACACATGCCACTTCCATACCACTTTCTTTTGGACTGAATTATTTTTAAAAGAAAAAGGAAGCTGTTATTGTGCTAAACCTAGACTTGTAACCCTAATGGCATCACTACTGTTTGATGAATAAGCAAGGTCCTTAAACTGGAATGCTTAAATAAAATACATAGACTGTTTACTCTGTGCTTTAACTCTGTTTTGAATGTTGTGTCTGAAGATTTTTTAGTGCTTCTCGGTCTGACTGTCCCAGACGGCTGTCTGAGTCTCACTGGTCTCTGTAGTATCTTAAGCAGCTAGAATCTAATGTCCACAGCAGAATGATGACTATCATGTTTCTGTGGCTGTCTGGAAAAGTGGCAAACATGACATTGCGGGCTACTGCGAGTCTTCCGGGCCATTTTATAACCTCCCAACTTCTTTGCTTTTAGTGACCACATTGGAAAATAACCGTTTGTTTCTTTTATTTAATTGATTTATGCTGATGATCATAGATGGACTTTAGGCAGAAATTTCTCAAACTGCACAAGGATTTCTCCTACTCTGTCAGCTGAGATGGGAATGCTTTAAAGTCGCGCTGAATTTCTTCAGTACTCAGTTCTCAAGCAGCATCCTGGACACAAAATATTTATTGTGTTGAATTGTTGGGCAGCTTTTTTGAACTGACAAACCTGCAATTACCTGTAATAAATGTTGCACAGATTCCTTTTATCAATTTGTTTGTCCTCCTGCACCAAGATTGAATCCTTAAAAGATTGTTCTGCATGCTAATTTTCTGTCCTTTTCCATTGTTTGTTTGTATGTCAATCAATATTCTGTCAGCAGAATTATATTACTCATGAACTGGCAAGAAACCAGAAGTCTATAGGAATACTAACTGGATCAACCAAACACCACCTTGTACTCTTCTGTGCATGGATCAACCAAACATCACCTGGTATTCCTCTGCGCACAGATTAACCAAACATCACCCGGTATTCCTCTGCGCACGGATCCTCCAAACATCATCCGGTATTCCTCTGCGCAAGGATCAACCAAACATCATCTGGTATTCCTCTGCGCAAGGATCAACCAAACATCACCCGGTATTCCTCTGCGCACGGATCCTCCAAACATCATCCGGTATTCCTCTGCGCGCGGATCCTCCAAACATCACCCGGTATTCCTCTGCGCACGGATCCTCCAAACATCATCCGGTATTCCTCTGCGCAAGGATCAACCAAACATCATCTGGTATTCCTCTGCGCAAGGATCAACCAAACATCACCCGGTATTCCTCTGCGCACGGATCCTCCAAACATCATCCGGTATTCCTATGCGCAAGGATCAAACAAACATCACCCGGTATTTCTCTGTGCACAGATCAACCAAACATCACCCGGTATTCCTCTGCGCGCGGATCAACCAAACATCACCCGGTATTCCTCTGCTTGCGGATCAACCAAACATCACCAGGTATTCCTCTGCGTGCGGATCAACCAAACATCACCCGGTATTCCTCTGCGTGCGGATCAACCAAACATCACCCGGTATTCCTCTGCACAGAGATCCTCCAAACATCCTCTTGCCAAACTCCCTGTTCTCTACAGCACTTCCCTAGTAGAATCCCTACTAGAATTTTCAACTACTTTCAAATGTTTTTAGACAACAGAACTGGGCTGCATTTCTTACCTATACATCTAATTTTATTTCTTTGAACTGGGACTACCACCCACATAGAACCAGCATCTTATCATCAATATACATCAATTCCCCTGTGCAACATCTAGCATGAACACACCACCCTTATGTCAAGATTATATCAACAACAAAAATGTAATGTCTGATTGAGACATGAAGGAGAAATGTCTTAATTCCAGTATGTTTTCCTCATCTGTAATAACACAAAAAGGGATGCATTGTAAGTTTGGGTTAAACATGGCCATTCATGCTCAAACATCATACATGCACTCCGCCTGCATCTTTGAGTCTCCTGTCTTTGTGAAAACATCCATCTGTAAATCGATCTCCATGTGTTCTCCGGCCCAGAGCACAGGAGAGGTTTTGATGAGTATCTGCAGAAATGAGTAGTGGTAGTGAACAAACAGCCCCTCCTGTTTAATGCACTTTCATGCTGCAAAAGTACTGAAGAAAAAAAACAGTATGATTAACCTAACGTCAGGTGATCAGCATTATTACATTGTAATATGACTGCTCAACATGTTGGAACTGTATAATGGTGCTGCTTAGTGAATTAGTATTTGTACTCTGTTGGTTGTGAACTTGTTATGTTTTAAAGTGCCTGTGAATGTAAGAATGTGTGTTTGTGTCTGCACACGTGTGTGTGTGTGTGTGTGTGTGAGTGTGCGTGCCTTTGCTGTAACGTGAGACACAACAGCTCCAGGTGCAGTAGGCAGTCACTGAGGAGGGGGCTGGCACACACTCACTCCACAAGAGAATTAGGGCCCTTGTCTTTGTGCTGCTGCCAGGAGCCCTATTGCCCCCCCCCCCCACCCCACCCCCCAACCCTCCCTTGCCACCTGGGGGTGAGCAGTAGTGGGAGGGAGTTCGTTTCTAGTCTGGATCGACATGGCTGGAGTCTTTACAAGGCAAGATCTGTGCACCTGGTCTTGCAACTGTTCACTCTTGCTTGAGGGATTCGAGTGAGTGAATCTGCAGGCCCACTGCCATTGGGAATCTGCGGGGATCAGTGAGGTGTTCCTCTAGTGTGACGCCTCATGGTACAATCTGGGCTATACAGGTTCTCAAAACTCTCTCTTTTCCAAAACACTCCACCAAATGGCACTGACTCCTCAAGTATGTTGATAGGGCAGTGTTTGGTTGGTAATTAGTTGATTTTGGACTATTACAAACAGATGGATGCTGTAATTGCTCATTTACTTGTACTAGTGATATTTGGTTATATGTTTTTTTCAACCTTTAACAGCCTTAACTTCCTGTAAAAATGTGTAACATTATGGTTGAATCCTGAATGAGAAAATACTATTGTACATACACTGTATGTAGGGTTGTCTAACATATAAGCGAACTTCCTTTTTTAATTGCATCCTCCTCCTTTTAATTTCCAATGCTCTTATATTCTCATTTTCTTTCTGTTTCCATTGCACATCGACTGGGAAACGTGCGGTTAAACACCATTGTGTTCTTTCCTCTCTAAGAAACAGATGTTAGCGCCTCTATCTTGGCGGGGAATTCCTATTGAGTTTGATTTTTAATGCCATTAATGATTTCATTCTATCTTAAAAAACATATGCAAACTGACAACAAAAGACCAAAAGATAAAACATTTGGCCCTTTTAGCTATAATTTTTCATACTCGATTTTAATATTGGGTCATAATTCTCACAGTTCAGATAATTAACTGAATGCACTAGGCTTTTACCGTAACCTTGGCTCAATGAAACATTACGCTGCCAAAACTCGCAATGGTCGAGATAACATCCGGAACGATTTTGTTGACGCGTTTTGTCGCTGCAGTCCTATGACGCAGTTTATCATTAACCAGGGGACCTGCCGCTCTGGTGTCCTCGGTTTGGCAGCGTTTTCTTTACAGATCCACAAGAAGCGGAATGTCCCTTTAAGACTAAGTGGCGTGCAGCGGAACAGCGGCGCCTCCTCCTCCGCGATACTGCTTGGGCTATCGTCCTATAACAGAGGTTACCCCGCCTCCCCGATCAGGAAGCTGGGGAGGGCGAGCATGCAAGTGGCCGCTTTTTGTGGCGATGGATATGGACATTGTATCATCAGACGACCGCAGCAAGTGTGAGGATGAACTAGCCTACTTTTCCCCAGAATATCGATATTGGATTGATTTTGTTGACTTTCTTTAATTTCAGGAGCCCGTCAATAATTCAGAACTTAAATTGACAGCCAAAACTTATTAATTGTTAATTTAACCGGGTTTATTTAGCAGTTATTTCGGCCCTGTTGCTTTAATTTCTTTGTGCAGCGATTCACATGTCGAAACAAAAGTGGATTTAAAAGAAACCTTGTTGATCAACACTCCCTCAACATGCTTCTGGTTTCTCAGCGACTAGACGCACCGCGCATGGAACCACTAGTAAGTTAATGGGTTTGTAATTATCGACAGCGCTGCCTATGATTGCGCATGGGTGGGACTAATTTAAATATTATAATAGACACAGACCTTAAGTAAATCGTATTACCAGATTCGTGTATAGGTGCGCTAGTCTACATTGAATTAAGTTTTTAATTGGAGAAACCAGCTACCACTTGGCTTACAAGCTCGTTTGCGGCAAACTTATTGCATACTATTGGGGCACCATGCAATTTTTTTCCCCAGTCGGTTGCTAGTTTTCAAAATGTAGTTGAAAAATATTTGTATACTTTACTGACACAATGCAAAACCACGTTGCATTTTAAGTTAGCAGGAGTATTACAGCGAGAAATTAATCTTAACCCTTTCTCACGCTTAACAGCCTTACAGTGAAGTTACGTTCTGTCAGTCTGTATTTGCAGCAAACTACATTTAATGTAGGCTATAAGCCGTATAAACATATGCACACTCTGTGTTTCAAGCGGGGGTGTATTTTCAGTGAGACATGGGTACAGCTTCTGTATTCAAATATACTTTTAGTGTGTCCCTTTATGTATAGTCTGTTTCAAAGTCTTACAAAATGAGCGCGTGCTTGTAGACGAAGTTCTTCATAGCTATGTCAATTCCTTGGCGAGAATCAAGCAAGATGAGTTAACAGTTGCTAATGCGGAATCTAAACCGTTTTACAACAGCATTTTCGGTCTACTGCCGTCAGTCACCGGAACAAAAGACCGGATTAAATAATGTGTTGGCGGTTTATTTAATACTTGCGATAATCATAATATCGATGCTTGTAATCATGCATATGGAAGCGCGATCTAAGTTTTGTGGATTGGTGATAAGAGACCGTGGCTGACACGAGGAAATGAGACCGGATGGTTTGTTTAGGATTAATGCAGGCTGCAAGGATGCGTAATAGGATTAACTAGATGGCAAAGGCCCATTTTCAAGCCCCCGCCTCTAAGAAGGCACTGCACCTAACTCTTAATGAATGGTCTGTTGGACTATTTATTATGCTCATTAAAACGGGCACAATAAAAATGTCTGAAAGCGTGAATTGTGCCAGTAGACTGATTACAAACGATGTGTACGTATTAATATGTTGCGGCCATCTGCCTTACCGATCGATTATCAAGACCAATTAGGTAAACAGCGAAATAAGACTGGTCCATCAGGTGTGATATATTGTCTGTACTAGCCCTTTGTTTTGACATGGATTGGCTGTAATACACTGACGGACCTTACGTTTTCATTCGTGTTGTCTCTGTTCCTTTTGGTTTAATACTTTTCCATTGCACCTGGTATATTTCTAAAAACACCTTGCGTGTTTTGTATCGGATTCGTGTGTGAAAATAATTTGCTGCAGTTCAGAAAACGTAATTGAGATTAAAAGGCACTGCGGCAACAAATAATGTGATTGTGCAGTGTAAAAAAAAATCAGTTTCCCATCATTAAAATTTGAATATTTTAGTGAAAATATATTGCAGGGTTAAAGTTCTGGAGCTAGTAACTGACCGCGGAATGCGAGGAATAGATCAAGAATGTAGCCATGTGATGAATCTGCTTCAGGAATGCTACCGTTCGTATGCTCGCACAATGACAAGCTCAACTTTGTCCTCATGCATTGTGTGAAAGACACACGAGAAACGCCAGTTTTATCACATGCAAGGCTGCAGATGTTATGTCAGGACACATTTAGAATCACCCATCGAGCGATAAGTTGCTGCCAACTTTCATTCATCGGTTTTTAGATAGCGCAAACGATCGACTACAGGTTTACCGCGAAAACGTAAGATATTGAACTTGCCAATAGTAATTCGTCTTGTCGTGTTACACTTGATCTGATCTACACGTAAGGTCTCTATCCTGTGCTTGCTCCCAGTTTTATGAATCGCCAATTTCAATCATGAGCCTTGATTTATAGCAGAATAGCTAATAGATGATATAGCTATCAGGGGATATATTAGTCGTATGGAGGTACAGGCGCGCAACTTTAAGCATCAGAATATGAAGCGGGTGACAGTAGAATCATACTCAATAGGTTCTTAAACATTTTCAACAGGAATATTACTGACGCAATCACAAATTGTTTATATGTTTCATTTATATTCGATGTGTAGGCTGGGTTTGAGGTTTTTTTCTTCTCGGTAGAGCACTCTCAGTACATCTATTCACACAAGATTGGCGGTTAATTTCCCTTGAACTCCAACGATGTTTGTCTAAATTGGTTGCTGGCCAAATTTGTCATCAGGCTTTGAAGTTCGCGTTAAAAGAATATACTCAACAGAAGGAATGCGCGATTGCTTCAGATCTCCTATTCAATGTGCCAGTGTTTCAGTCGCGGTAACATGAGCATCTGCGGGCTTTGTCGGGGTTGGATTCCACCTCAAAGTTTAACCAAAAAAAAAAAAAAAAAAAGCGAAGAAGGGGCTACTTTGATCTAACAGACAATCTTAAGTTATGAGATCATTTAGATTTACAAATTTGGCTAAGCAGGACGTGGCTCTCCCCATTACCATTTAGAAGCATGCATTTCAGCTTTTCCAATAAACTGCTCAGGCGTTTGTATTTTGATGGTCGTAAACTGATGTTAAACTCTCACTTTTCTGACTGAGATTGAGCGATCGGTAAGGGGGCGGAATAAAATGTGGGGCTTTTTCACTGACGAAACATATGGTGTATAGCTCAGGGGGAGAGATTGCAGGGTGGGGGTACGGAGACTGTGATGGAGGGACAGAAGAGGAGGGTGGGGTGGCCTTGATCGTGTTTGTGAGGCCAGCTGTTCGCTGAGAGGTGAGAAATGGGGAAATGCCGCGATCAGATGGGCAGTGCCAGGCTGACGGATCAAGCCGTCCGCGATCGTCACAGCTCCCGTGGATTTTCATTCATCTACTCAGTCATCCGGTCGGTAGTCTGACCAAGAAATTAACACGTACGACGCTACTCCCGCCACAACCTGCAAGGCGTGGCGAAGAACTTTCATTTATCTCTGTTAAACTGGAATTGACAAAGTAGATGAGTAGTCCAGGATTTCACCAGAAGAGCAGCGTTAGCAAGTGCTTCTCACTTCCTGTTTGTTCTCAATACCACAACTGATGGAGCTTTGAATGACGGCGGCGGTCACACGCGGGCAAACATTTCTTAGTGACTCAAAATGGGTAAATACTAGTAAAATTTTCATTCTCACACAGTCATAATTGGAGGAAGTTGTTCTCAAAATTCCGGACACAGACATACAAACACACGCACTGAGAGAAATCCGAAAGCCTTCGGTGGAGTCAAAGTGGTTTGAAAGGTACCCAGATAAAATAACCGGATAGTCTCTTGAATAATTTGGTATCTTGTTTGGGTGTTGTAAGAGAAGAGGCAGGGAACTCCATGCTATGTTTAATTCAGGTGTATGTGATTGGTATTAATCTGGGGTGGGTGGAGAGCATTTCATTTATTTCCTCACCGGGTTTTTGAAGCTGTTTATTTTATTTTTATAATTGTATTTTCAGGGCTATTATAAGAAGTTAAAGAGACCTTTTCGAATTTAATTTGCTAACGGGGTGACTGCGTGTGCAGGGTTGAGTTTGCAAGTGAGTATTTAAACAAAAAACAAGGGGTTGTGGTGAGGGGGCGAGGGGGCACAGCACACTGAGTGGTATCACTGAGTGCCACAAACCCTCCATCGGGAAATGGCATCACTGCCCAGGGATCATAACAAAGAGGAGCATGCCCCCAAGTTCCTCTCTGGTTCCTCTCTTCTGCTTCCGAAGCTCAGGCTACTTACTGCTGGCTAAATTCTGTGTGGGTTTTTTCATTCTTTTGTTATACAACTGGCTCTGTCTTTTGCGCATTGCTTTGCTGAGGCCTGATGTCGTCTTTATTGCCTTTTCTAAGTATCACCTTGGAAAATATAATCTTGTTAACAGATGTGTCCAATCATTGTCTTATTTGTTGTACACAAGTAGCAATTATGCCGTTTATCAAGCCAATTAAACCATTTGCATTTCTTATCATTTTTGAAAACATTTGAACATTGTCATGTTTGAACGTGGGGGGGGGCGGTGTGGCTCAGCAGGCATTGGCTCTGTGCCTGTGTTCAGAAGGTCGCCGGTTCGCGCCTCAGCAGAATACTCATATATCCATGGGCCCTTGAACAAGACCCTTAACCACCAGCTCCAGTGGTGCTGACTCTGTGCCGTGACCCCCAACCTTGCTCTCACCTGCATGTGCTTCTCATGAAGAGCAACATGAGGTAGGTGAAGAGAAACACTCCAGTGTATTTGTACATATACTTGTGCAAATGCCAAATAAAGGATCATTTCACTTCACAGAAACACACCCACATAAGAGGAGAGATTATTATAATTACAGAATGTAATTGATTTGACAATTTTTATTGGTAAATAATGTCAGCAACACATTTCTAGAAAATAAGAATAGAAACTTTCGCCTTGCGTTTTTTGGCACATGGCGTCTCCTTCCTTGCAAATGTCATAGCTGGTATGATCATGTGAAAGGAGGCTGTCATGTCGAGTATCTAACCACCATGCGCCATCTCGCAGCCATCACAGAGGCCTTCAATGGAAGAGCTTTCAGAAGGCAAGCTGCTATCAGTGTAGTATGCATGGGTAGGCACTAGAACTTCTGGTTTGCTTGTGATCAAGTCTCTGTTGGGTTTTACCGTCGACTCTTGAAGTTTCAAGCATGTCTGTTCATTAATCTGGTAGAGCCCACTGTGCTTACTGGCATCAGGCCTAGTTTTCTCCATGATGTGTTCAGAAGCGGATTTCGAAAAATAGGCCTTAGTCCAGGCCTTGATTGATTGTAGAAGCAGTTTGTTGTAAACCATAGTTTTACACAAGGTTGAAATGGCAACTTGGCCACATCGTCCAGGTTTAAAATGACTGTATTTCTTTGCTATTTATGATGACATTAGTGCCTTGTTGATAAGATGACCCTGAGTTAACATTGCATAGCTTCTATTGTCAACTGGCGAGCGAACATGGTACTGT